AGTCAATATCTCGATTGATTCTTGACACGTTCAAAATGGTCCCTGATATGCCCAATCGAACTAGACCAAACAGAACCATGTACATCCTTGGATTATAAAATATAATAAGAGCATAGTAGTTGTAGATTGTGATGGGAAATTGGTGTGCGGTGGATCGAAGTTACGAAAACTCAGGTGGTAGAGCAGCAGCGTACTGAGCCGAAGGTCGTGGGTTCGAATCCCGCTCGTCTCAACCAAGACCTTACATAAAAAGAATAATTAATTGAAAGAATTAATTTGGTCAGTTAGACCACTAAACGTAAATGGATTAATATAGTAAAAGGTTAACTAATAATGACTTAAATTTACAACTTTGAAGCCTACGGATTAAAGTACAATGAAATTCGAAACTCTATAAGAGCAGATCGAACATAGCCATCCTATGTGATTACTGACTTGAAAGCTTAACAAATAACAACCTCAACTTATAAGTTGGAAACCAACGGGCAGTGTGATGAAATTAAAAATCAAAAATCGAACCAGATCGAACATGGCCATACTAGAACTAAAGTATAACTTTTACATATGGTTTGATTATATTATCACAGTAAACAACAATTACTAATTTAAAAGGTTAACAAATAATAACCTCAAGTTACAACTTGGAAACCTACGTATAGAGTATAATGAAATTAAAAATTCTTTAGAAACCAAAACAAACATGGCCAGTACATTTTATAATAAAAATATCTACATATTCATTACATTTTATTATTTTGTTGAAGAGCGTTATAATAGACGGTTTAAATAGTACTGAAATGGATTTCTGGCCATTCTATTGTCTAGGTTTTATTGCTCTTACAACCGTGGTGATCCTGTGTGCGGATGGGCTCCGTCTTGCGTCAGAATGAAATGCTCGCCCCTCATTTCAACTGCAGCTGTTAGGGGAACTTGAGGACTCATTTACGTATCGTTAAGCTGTCAAGAGTATTTCGTAAAATCATAATATCAGTTTTTACTTCCTCGGAAATCCTCCTGACACTATTTTCTCGTCTAAACTCGACTACATCATACGAATTTAAATTAAAATTAGAATTGTTTGTGAAGAAGGCTGAACTTTTTGTGTCATGTCCCACCTGCCAATGTGCCTGACTCCTCGGGAAGATTTCTGTCAATTTTGTGACGCTTAGTTAAATATTCCACCTTTTTAGGAACTCTTGAAGTCGATTGAAATTTGACCCGAAACACCGAGCAGCACGGGAGAAAACTCTCAAAAATGTGTCTTCACTTGAACTTTTATCCAGGACGTCTAATGCACACCTGTGAAACCCCTAGACGAAATCTAACAACTCTTAAAATGTGCTTTCTTCAGCCGAATAACAGCATAGGTCGTAAAAATTGTGAAGATATTTTCATATTCGTTAGTAATTGAAGTTTTAAAGACCATTTTTCGGCATAGGACACAAATTAAATGGTCCATATTCTCAAATTTATTACGACAGACCCATAGCGGTTAAGGCCCACTGCCTCATCTCTGATGCCTATTTTATTGGACACCTGCCTCCAGCAACCTAGGCTTTACTTCTTACTTAAGGACCAAATTCGATCGATTTGTCAACTATACAGTCAGCCTAGAGGTATACATCTTTAGAGGAAGTGTAACAGGCTAGCAAACAGAATATATTCAATAATTATTAAAATTTTGTATTAAAAATAAAATAAAATTAAATTAAATTTAAAAGAAGTAAAGGCAATTAGAAAGAAAACATTCATACTTTCACGGAATTCCCATCATCAGTACTATGAAACTATAATTACAAATTTAAAAGGTTAACAAATAATAATCACTGCATACAACTTTAAAGCCTATATAACCACGTACATACTATAAAAATATGTAACGTATACATATCGATTATATTTTATTATTTGAGTAAACAATAATTATTATTTTGAATTATTATTTAGGTTTATTAGCCGCAACTTACAACTTTGAAAACTACAATTTAAAGCGGAATGAAATTAAAAATCCTCTAGAACCAGATCTAGCGTGGGCAGAACTAAAAAATGTAACATCTGCATATCAATATTTTAAATTATTTGGGTACAATATACTAGTAATAAAAAATAACCTCTGTTTACAACTTTGAAACCTAAAGTTTCGAGTAATTATAATGAAATTAAAAAGCTATAGATAGATTTTACATTCTATACATTTCATATCATTTAGAATCTTATTATTTGGATAAATGACAATTACTAATTTGAAAGGTTAACAAATATGAACCTCAACTTATAACTTGGAAAGCTATAGCTATAAGTACAATGAAATTAAAAAGCGAAAATCCTTAAAACCACTACAAACTTGGCCAACCTACAACAAGGCTAACCTACATATATAGATTCAACTTTATTACTTGGAAAAACAACAATTACTAATTTGAAAGGTTAACGAATATTAACGTCAACTTACAACGTTGAAACATACGGATTATAGTACAATAAAATAAAAAAAATCCTATATCGAAAAATCTATAGAACCAGAACAAACGTGGCCAACGTATAAGCAAACTATAACCTCTACACATCGATTTTATTATATTATTTTTTGCCAAGCAACAATTACTAATTAATAAGGTAAACAAACATACCTAACAGCTTTTAAACCTGAACTTACACATTTGAAACTTACGAATTAAGGAACAATTAAATTAAAAATCCTCTAGAACCGGAACAAACACGGCTAGTACATCGTATTACAAAAATATAACCTCTAAGGGTGAATAGGATTTTGTTATTTGGGTAAACAATATGTACTAATAAGTTAACTTTACCTAATAATAACCTCAAATTACAACTTTGAAAACTATAGTTTAAAAGTATAATGAAATTAAAAAGCAAAAGTCTATAGAACCATATCCAACATGGCCATCCTAAAACAAAAATATAACCTCTACAAATCGATCCTATTTTGTTATTAGGGTAAGCAACAATTACTAATTTAAAAGGTTAACAATAATAACTTTAGTGTACAACTTTGAAATCTATGGTTTAAAGTATAATGACATTAAAAAGCAAAAATGTATAGAACCAGATCCAACGTGGCCATCCTGTAACAAAAATATAACCTCTACATATGGATTTTGTTATATTATTGAAGTAAAAACAATTACTAATGTAAAGGTTAGCAAATAGTAACATCAACTTACATCTTGGAATCCTACCAATTAGATAATAATGAAATTAAATAAATAAATTATATATATATATGTGTGTGTGTGTGTGTGTGTTATATTGTTATATTTTTGTTGTAATATGGCTATGTTTGTTTTGGTTTTATGGTATTTTTAATTTCATTATTCTCTATTTCCTAGGATTTCAAGATGTAAGTTGATGTTACTATTTGCTAACCTTTTACATTAGTAATTGTTTTTACTTCAATAATATAACAAAATCCATATGTAGAGGTTATATTTTTGTTACAGGATGGCCATGTTGGATCTGGTCCTATAGATTTTTGCTTTTTAATGCCATTATACTTTATACCATAGGTTTCAAAGTTGTACACTGAAGTTATGATTGTTAAACGTTTAAATTGGTAATTGTTGTTTGCCCTAATAATAAAATAGAATCTATATATCCAACATGGCCAACTTCTAACAAAAATATAACCTCTACATATGGATTATAATTTATTATTTGGGTAAACAACAATTCCTGCTTTGAAAGTTTAACAATTCCTGCTTTGAAAGTTTAACAAATGAAAACCTCAACTTACAAGTTTTAAACATACAGTTTACGTTATAATGAAAATTACAAATCCCATACGACCGTTCATAAATAACATCGAACTAACACGATGTATAAAATATATAACCTCCTTATTTTTATACAGATTAAATCGGCTATATTTTTGTCATAGAATGTTTCATTTATTTTGTCACTGTACTACGTTCATATCAGTTAGCTTTTTTAATTGGTAATTACGGTTTCATAGTCTTAATGAAAGGGGGTATTCTTGGCTGTAGGAATACGCGTTTTCTTTCTATTTGGATTTCTAAATATACAATTATTTTATAGTAAAACTAGGTTGGTTTAATACTAGTTCACAATACTATTGTACTTTTCCTTTTTAAACATTTATAGTTCGTTTGTTTATAATAGGAAAAAGGCGATGTACGCATGCGTCTTTTCAATGGGAGTTATAACTGTTAATTGTTATTTGTTTATTTTGACAAATAATTTCAGGTTTGCTTGTATGTTTCTTCCGATACAATAACCACTCCCATGAATGAAATTTCCAGCCCGACCTATAAATCACGGTTCTGACGGAAAGGGCCCGGAGTGATAGATAAAAAATAAAATATCGAGACTATAAAAAAAATTAATAAAAATATATTAAAAAAGGGACACAATTTTAATACACGTATGCGTAATGGGCGGCACGATCGCACGCAAAGGAAATTCAGTCAGGTTATTGAACGAGAGAGAAAGACGAAATAAAAAGGTCGGTGAATGGTAATAGAATTTTTTTTGTAGTATTGTCTGACATATGATATAATAATAATACACAATTTTAACGTTTTAACGGCACCTCTGAGGAATTGCACAATTAAACAACTGGCGTGCTTAGCAAGATGGTATAATTTCCTATACGCCAATTTTCGAGGGAACATTGTGCATTTTTGATGATGATAAGAGTGATAAAGATGAAAAATAATCGGAGAAAGCGCTGAAAATGAAATAAATATGACAGAAACCAGCCCCTATTCGGATGAGAGGTTATAACGGAGGGTGATATTTTCTCTGGATCGTCACAAAACAAAACGTGCGTCCAAAATAAAGTATTTTATCGCACTTGTGTCGAAGAGGATGAAATATATAATTTTATTGTTGAAAACTTGTTTAAAGGGGCCGTGTAAAGAAGCGGGTCGATAGGAAACGGCGTTGTATTTCCTCGAGTCTAACGGCCTGGCCGTGGCGTATATGCGTTTTGGGATGAAAAATCGTACGCTACGTACCGTTAAACTAGGGATTATGTAATCCAATCCAGTGCGAGATGTGGATCGACGTCGGCGGATGGGCGGGGTGTCGGGCACGGCCTTGCAAGGCAAGGGTAGAAACGGCACTGAGGACAAACGCGAGAAGGGGAGAGAATTTTACGGTGGCAGTCTGGCAGAGGCCGCCATGAGCCGCGCCGGGGGGGTTGGTGGTTGTAGAGGGAAACGTTTCCCAGGATAAAAGGGGAAAAATTCATCTTTCCATTACTTGACCATAGTTCCCTCCTAGCTCACAAATTACCTATTTCCACATCTACGATAACAAGGAAGACAGTTTAAAATAATTTTTCCAACAAGAAACAAACTTTATATTCGTTTTTTAACCCCCAAAAAATCCCTGAATACAATTTCTTTTGTAAAAACCCTAGAAGCCCAAAAATAAAATACACTGACAGGCAAAAGATTCCACCCAATTGATTTCTTTTTTTTTTTAATTTTCCCGATAAAAGAAAATTCTGCCCTTAATTTGTCTCATTGTTTTTACCACAAAATATTTGTTTATGCTATGTTTTAAATTGAAAATGTTTTCTCGATAAAAAAAACATTTCGCCCTTAATTTGTCTCATTGTTTTTACCACAAAATACTTGTTTATGCTATGTTTTAAATTGAGAACATGATCTCGATTTAAAAAAAAAAGATTTCGCCCTTAATTTGTCTCATTGTTTTTACTACAAAATATTTGTTGATGATATGTTTTAAATTGAGAATACGATCTCGATAAAAAAAACATTTCACCCTTAATTTGTCTCATTGTTTTTACAACAAATTATTTGTTGATGCTATGTTTTAAATTGAAAATATTATCTCGATAAAAAAATTCCACCCATAATTTATCTCGTTGTTCTTACCACAAAATATTTGTTTAAGCTATGTTTTAAATTGGGAATATCTCTTGATAAAAAAAAATTCCTCCCATAATTTATCTCGTTGTTTTAACCACAAAATATTTGTTTAAGCTATGTTTTAAATTGAGAATACGATCTCGATAAAAAAAACATTCCGCCCTTAATTTGTCTCTTTGTTTTTACAACAAATTATTTGTTTATGCTATGTTTTAAATTGAGAACGTGATATCGATAAAAAAAAAAGATTTCGCCCTTAATTTACCTCGTTGTTTTTACTACAAAATATTTGTTTATGCTAGGTTTTAAATTGAAAATATTATCTCGATAAAAAAATTCCACCCATAATTTATCTCGTTGTTTTTACCACAAAATATTTATTTAAGCTATGTTTTAAATTGGGAACATGATCTCGATAAAAAAAAAGATTCCGCCCTTAATTTGTCTCATTGTTTTTACCACAAAATATTTGTTTAAGCTGCTTTACATTGAGAACATGATCTCGATAAAAAAATTCCTCCCATAATTTATCTCTTTGTTTTTACCACAAAATATTTGTTTATGCTATGTTTTAAATTGAGAACATGATCTCAATAAAAAAAAAAAGATTTCGCCCTTAATTTGTCTCATTGTTTTTACTACAAAATATTTGTATATACTATGTTTTAAATTGAAAATATTATCTCGATAAAAAAATTCCACCCATAATTTATCTCGTTGTTTTTACCACAAAATATTTGTTTAAGCTATGTTTTAAATTTGGAATATCAATTACAGATACATTCACACAATTCTTAATTCAAAATAAGGAAAAAGAATTATTCAATGTTTACTTTTTCCGGAATTTAAAATATTTATTCAGTCCCATTTGAATTTTGAAGAAATAAACTGTTTACATTTCATGTTTGTTTTCTTAATTTCAATTTTTATACTTAAAAATACTACTTAGTGCTGAGGATGTGGCGCGTGGTGTGACACTTGTTGATGATGGACGTTCCGGTATGCGGCTATTGCCATGGAAGTTCCCTATGAAGTTCTGCGAGACGCCATTAGACTTTTTCAAGAACCTGGGTCCTACCATAGAAGGCCCGGTTCTAGATGCCCTAAGGTAACATAACCACAGGATGAACGGTTTTTGATTTTGAGACGTTTGGGAACCGGCATACCAAACGTTGTCCCTTATTTTTCAAGTATTTTATTAGTTTAATGATTTTTCATGATTTATTTGTGTAGAGGGTGGATTTTCATAACAGTAGAAGTCTACCAACCCTCGAGATTTACCTTTACCTTACAGTGATAAGTGCCGGAACCGTTGAGGCCACCGACTTGAACCCCATCGAACATTTATGGGATAACCTCAAAAGACGAATAAGAGCACTCCACGCACTTCCTGATACACTCCACGATCATGAGGACTCTTCGTGAAGAATGGGCTAACCTCCAGCAAAGAGAATTTCCAGATTGGTAGAAAGTATGCGTCTTCGAGATGTAATTAAGGCAAGAGGAGGAAATACGCGATATAGAAATGTTAATTAACAATCTAAAATAAACAAATTTTATCTGTCCGTCTTTTTTTTTCATTTTTAGTTTTCTTTAGCAATTTGCATTTTGTTTTTGTTTTTTTAATTTTTTAGACAAAGACTTAATTGTGAATCATTAAAAAAGGTGAAACTTTGAGTAATATATAAAAATATATACATTTCAAATTAGTTTACAAGTGGGGGCAATTTTTTTCCCTGTCAATGTATTTTCAGTAATTTTCTTTAAAATAAAATTCTACATTTAATAATGCATGTAATGGACTCTCTAGGTCCTGACCCTACTGTGGCTTAACATCTTGCCACAAAAGAGGATATATCTTAAAACGGTTCCTTAATGAGTCCAAAACCTGGTGGAACAATAGCACAGGCATGGGGCACGCGAAGAGGATCTCATAGAAGAGCCATCCGTAAAACTTAGAAACGAAGGCAACAGTAATCTAACCAGGATTCTGGGTGTCTCCTAACAAGGCATTCTTTCCCACTAGGGATCGCGATGTCATTAGACAATGAGGTTCTTTAACGTGCGCACCTGGCCTTACACGTTTAGACTCTCAAGATAGGAGCGCCTCACCTCCGCTCACGGGGCGTGGTGCTAATCCCGTGAGATTTCTTGTAGAAGCCACCAGGTCCATAAACTAACCATACAGACATGCCTACTTCTCCCGCTTGCCTCTTCCTAAGAGGTGGGTTAATATTTTGTACTTAACCGTGTGTAACGAGATACCCAATAGGGCTGAATGAAATGCATCAGCCGGTCTCCCTAGCCGCTGGCTAGGTTATTGAGGTTGATTAACAACTCGAAGCTATCCACTGAGTTATAAAAAACAGATGAGCACAATAGATCACTCAGGTCGAGGACGTCATTTTCGATTTCTCGTTGACGATGAGAAAAATTATACAGAGTACATCAGGCCACTTCAAAATTTAGTCAATATAAAAACACTATAGACAATTTTTTGCAGGTGAGAATGTGAGATGTTATTTGAATCGTCACTTCCGGGATAGGTGGATAGGATCCTCATGGCCCCATCTGTCGGCCTCCTTGATCATCAGATTTAACTCCATTTGACTATTTTCGATGGGGACAGTGTCTACTGCAATCATAATGCAGCAACCTCAGTTGAAGAACTGCGGCAAAGGATAGAAAATGTTTGACAATCCATCTCTCCTGACTCTATCGCTCTGAGCACCGGTGAAGAGTGGTTAAAAAGAGCAAATCTTTGCAGCTTTACACAAGGCAGGAAGTTCGAACATGAGATGTGATTAATAAATAGCAAACCAGATGTCTATTTTTTTGTTCAAACTTTTTGCCATAACTTTGTCCGTTTTCAGCGTAAGAAATAATTTAAAATGATGAGTCAGGATGTTAGGGTCGTATTTGAAATTCTGAAGTTGAACTGGGCCTGAGGTACCCTGTATAAAAAACCTTCTCCAAAACAGGTAAAAGTTTGAAACTAGACTAAAAAATATTAAAGACGTATTTGTTGTTTTTTATAGTGTCAATGGTTCAAGAGAAATTCGGCCATCCAAAAAAGACACCCTGTACATAGAGGATCCGAACCTGTCAGGCAGGACGTGTGACCTACAAGACGTTCCGACATCCTCGTGAAGAATATTTTGTCTGAGACCGATAAATATTCCCAAAAGCCGTCACAACCTTATAACCTTGCGCAGTGGCAATATCGTAATCAATGAAGTTCTACTGAGATGCGATTATTGCTAGTTGCTGTAGTTATATAGGATCGGCATCGCTTCGAATCCGCAACGTGTTGTGTCTGATAACGTGAAACCGCCATCTGCCTAAATCTCTCATGGGACTTCGCGAGTGGCAATGTGCTTATTTTATACGAAAACGTGTTTACGGGCTTGTTAAATTAGAGTGAAAAAATGGTGAATTTATTTCAATAAAAATCTTTCGGTCTAGAAGAGGTTGGAAAAGGAGTAGACAAATTACGCAAGGACAACAACATCAAGAAGGATAAGGGGGTGTGTAAGAGAAACCGAAAGTTTCTGTCTCAAAAAAACTATTCGGTTTCTTCAAAGGAAGGTCGGGATATGAAAACCCGTCAGGATATGAAAATGTTATCCCCAACAAAATCATGCCCAATCAAAATGTTGAAAGATCAGCTACAAGCAATGCCGATAACGCAAACTTGGTCGAACAACTAAAACATTTGCAAGATGGATTAGCGAACTTAAAGACCAGAAAACCAAAACAAACGAGGAAAAATATGCCAAACAGTAGCGAAGACAGAACGGCAAACTCAAAGGTACAATAAGAAAAGGAAAGTTTTGTGGTCACCAGAACGAGAAATCAGCCATCAAAAACAGCCTAACGCTACCCCAAGAAGGCAAAAGCAAACACCAAGAAACCAACAATGAAAGGAAGCCCCCTCCAATCATAGTGAGTAATGTTACGAACAAAACACAAATTAATAAAATAATGTCAAAAAATGACTTTAAATATAGTGGATCGAAGTCACGATAGATCAAGTGGTTAGAGCAATGCCCTATTTAGCCGAAGGTCGTGGGTTCGAATCCTGCTCGTGACACTAACTTTTTCATCTCAACCAAGACCTTAGATAAAAAGAATGATTAATTGAAATGATTAATATGGTCAATTATGACCGAAAATATATATAGATTAAATACAGTAGTAAGTTGATGATTAACAATCAACTGTAAATGTTCATTACGA